ATGCACAGTCAGTCAGCCCGGGCGCAGCTGCCATGCAGACGGTGGCCCCTCAGGGCTGCTTCTGCCCCTTGCTAGTCCCCTGGCTGCCTCCACTCACCCTGCCTTCGTCATGCCCCTCGGGCTCCCGTCTCCGAGGGCCCCATCTCCTACCTCCTCTCTACTCGCTGCTTTTTGGCTTGAAGTAGCCCAGCACCCAAGACACCTCATCGCCAGCCTCTTACCAAAAGCTCTGGAGTGTTTAACTCCCCAAAGCAGTTCTTTTGCTCGTTCCGGAGCCTGTGGTTGACGGCCAGTTCTTTCATGCTCTGCTGACCTGGCGGGTCTCTGTGGTCCTCCAGGGCACCCTCACCTCAGGGTTTCTACCCAGACTCACGGCCCCAGATGCAAAGGTGTACAAAATGCTCACTTTTCCAAGCCCGCGGGGCTGTGCTGTGCTTTGTGTTGGTGGAGAGGAGGCTGGGGTGGGGGTGGGCGCCCAAACCAGAAGGAATGGTGAGGGCTTGGCATCTGTTTTTGGAAGCCTCAGGACAGAGAGGCTCTTGCTCTGAAATGGGGAGAGGAGTGGAGAACAGATGTTCCTGACGGAGCAGGTGGGTCTTCATGAGGAGGAGGAGGAGTGGAGGCGCCTGTGAGGGAGGAAGGACTGAAGGGCATGCATCCAAGGGCTAACCATGGTTGTCTGGAGAGGCACTGGGAGGAGGGATTGAAAATCCACGTTTACTTGCTTTACTTCTGTATTTTTTAAACTAATTACCTTAGTTACTGTCCCAATTATGTCCCAATTATTTATCTGTTTAGACTTAGTGGGACAAACACAGGTGACCAGGAGTCAGCAATAAGGGCCTATCCCCTGGTACTTCAGTGTCTAGACAGCTGAGCCAAACCGGAACACATGAACACACAAGACAGAATTAGTATGCAGTCACACAGGGTTTATTTACCTATTCCTAGTGGGTCCTAGGCTCCGGCAAAGGCCACCCGGCGATGCACACCGAAAGACGGACGACGAAGACGGAGACAGACAGGCGGCCGCAGTTGGTTCAGGCTCGCACAGCAGAGCAGTTAATCAGGGACTCGTCTCATGGAGTGACGTGGAGTCCGCCTCTCATCAGGCAGGAGACGTCCCCTGGAGAAAAATCTGGTGCTTATATAGCCGGTGGTAAACAACTGTGTCTTATCAGTGTGGGCCAGATGGTGTGCCTTATGCTAGGAGCAGGGTGTTTACGCTTTAATGGCTTAGGGCGTTCACATCAAGATAGGGGGGTGTTCACCACATTTTGGAAGTTACAGAGTATTGGGGTCTTCACACAGCAAACATTTCACACAATAATTATTTCCACACATTAGAGGGGTTTCCTTATGACCATAACATTATTATGGTCAAAAACCCAATTAAAGAGATAGAGATAGAGATAGAGATAGAAGGTTCGGCCACGGGGGAGCCCACGGGGAGGACCGACCCTGGTCCCGTCCTCCCTGCAGCTGTCCCACCAACCGGCCTGCCGAGTCCTCTGGAAGACACACAAGCGCATGCTCCATCATTCATTCGCTCTTGCGCTCCACAAACATTTCTCTTTTGGCAAAGAAAGTGGTGAACAAGACAAAGTTTCTGTGGTCGTAGAGAGAACCTTCTAAGGGAGGCGGCCAATGACCAAGGTAACATATAAACAAGTAACATCCTTTCAGGTGAGGGCTATGAAGGAAGCAGGAAAATGCAGGGTGACTGAGCGTGGGACATTTGACAGGATTCTCTGGGACACACAGGCACAGAATTGTACGCAAGGAACGAAAAACAGCCACCACACAAAGGCCAACAAAATGCCTGTAGCGGACCAGGTGGCGGCCTGCGAGGCCTGAAGCAGGACTGGCTGGACAGGTTGAGGTTTTGAGGAGCTAAGCAGAGTTTCTGAGGCCGAACCTGCTCGTTTTAACAGCTGTCATTTAACATTTAACAGACCAACTAGAGGACCTCAGAGGAAGGGAGTAGCGTTTA